TTTTTATATAAAAGAGTTATAAAATAATATAATTAATAAAAAAAGATAGTTTAAACTATAATTATTTAACTTGTAAAAAATTATTAATTATATTAATAATAATTTAAAAACTTTTATTAGTAGTACTTTTTAATTATAGTTTTGAGGTATCTATTTTTTCACACTGGCCAATATTTATATAAGGCCATATAAACTTAATTTTTTGGTTCTCATAACTCGGCTGAGTTATATTTTGAAATTTTTTTGAAAAAAATTTTTATATGTTTTAATAAGTAGGTGGGATTTCAAAAAAAATTTTTAAAAAATTTTATAAAATTTAAATTTTTTATATATAAAATTTTTAAATAAAAGTCTGAGTAGGTGGGTTATTTTTTTTGTCTCATGTTATAAGAACCAAAAAATTAACTTTGTATGGCCTAATAATTATAAAAAGTTTTACTATATATTTATTTTTATTTTAAAATAATATTTAAAAATTTTGTAAGTTTATTCCTGTGTATTATTGTATGGGTTTACAACTAGTTATTAGTTTATTTTTTTTTAATATTAAGGTGACCACTCAGGCCCCTAGCACTTTATTAGTTCAAATGGGTAGGCCATTGTTAAGAATACTGGCTTTACATATTACATCAGTATTACGAGAGTACAACTAGTCACATATACAACTTTTGGTTGCCTAATTAAGTAGTCTGCCCAGAGTGTTAGTGCTATGCTAAGAGTTTTACACTAGATGTTATACCTATAGCCTAACTAGGAAGCTATCTATTTAAACTTTTTGGCTATACCGGTACTATATATTTTTTCTTAATATATCTTGTTTACAGAGTAATTTGCTGCTTAAGACCTTAAGGCTTTTGCTATTAATCTAATTTGGGAGACAATTTATCCTTGTGGTATATCTAACAGAGCAGTTCCACACATGTTTTTATCTGCATGTTCAGTAATTTCTTCCTACCTAGTATATACATGTTGGCAAAATCTCAAATTACTATATTTGAGATTTGTCTGTACTCAAATCCCAAATCTATTCCAAATTAATTTCTTAAAAACTTTATTAATAATTTTTATTTAAACAAATAGTAGATATTCTTATTGTTGTAAATAATATATTTGCAAAATTTTAAGATTACTTTTTTTGATTTAATTTTTTACAAATAGCAATTGTTTTTTTTTGAATTTGGGATTTGTCTGTGTTTTATTAGCAATGTATAACCTAGTACCTGTTGTATTGCTATAACCAGGTTCATATCTCAAGCCAACTTTTGGGGTGCTACTATAACCTAATCCATATCTTAAACACAACCTTCCTAATTAGTCTTTCATTACGTACTCCTGCTCTTATAAGGTTCACAACAACCCGATACCCACATTCTAACCATTTTCTTACTTGAATTCTTTATTGGTTCCTCCCTTATTTCTAGCCAGCAACCCAGATGAGTTGGTCTGCCCAGGCTTTAGGTGCCTAAAAAACACCCTCCCCTTGGTTTATACTTTTAGAGCGTATGTCCTTTTCCTCTAGTATGACAACCTAGCAGTTCAGCTAGTGTGTTCTCTATCAGCAAACCTGGTTGCATAGTTCTCTAATATTGGGCCCCAGTTCAAATTCAGCCTTCCTGTAATACCATCAAAGATTCCTGCTACTTCCAATTTGGGACTTCCCAAATGGGTTTTCAGTTATGCCAGTTCCTTGAATTTATTGCACCAAAGCTTCTATTACAAGATGGTGTAATCAAAGTTACAGATTTAATTCTAGATCCAACTGATAAACATAGCTGTCAACCAAAACACAAACCTATTTTTCAAATATCATTGTCTGTGAATTTGAACTCTAGATCTGCTACAAAAGAATAACAACTAGACCACTACACTAAGTCACCACACCTCTTTACATTATTAGTTTATATTATAATTAAAAGGAATAAAATATATAAATTTTAATTGTTTTATCTGCTCATATTTCTTTTCACCCTGGTAGATCTTTGTTTTATGCATGTCAACTTTTTGATCCAAAATTTTTTCACCTTGGCAATGTTATACAGAAAGATATTCACAATTACTCTATTATACCAGAACTATCTAATCCATCGAATAAATTATTACATGAGTGGGCAATTTATTGTGGATTGAAATATGATGTAGTGTTTAAGGAAATTACATTGGATAAATTTTGGTTAAATATGGCTGATTCATTGCCTATTTTATCTGAAATTGCATTCGATTATATTTGGTTACCAGTTTCTTCTTGCGCGGTGGAAAGAAGATTTAAAATATACTATGATTTTAGATACTAATCGACAAAGTTTAAGTGAAGAAACTTTACAAAGTTTAAATATGTTGTATTTTAATAACAATTTAAATAGTGAAACAACAATTTAAATAGAATACATAGCACTTAAATTTTAATGATTTAAATAGAAATACATTTAAAATTTTCTCTTTTTACTTATTTAAAATAAATTTTAAATAAAAAAAATATTGCAGAAACCATGCAGAATCTTTATAATTACCGCGGAAACTGTGCAGAATTTGTCAATTTGATTCGCAGAATCCATATTTTAGCACGGACGGAATTGACCAATTATCACCGCAGAAAATCATCGGCCCTGGCCACGAACTAGTAAAACAAAAACTGTTTATAAACTACACTCCTAGCCTTACTCTAATTGCAAAAAGTTTTATTTTAAAAAATTGGGTTGATAATTACGTTACACCTGACAAAAAGTGTAAAAAAAAAATCCAACTCTTGTTTCGATCAAAGTAAGTTGAGTAAAATTTTTTCTTGTTATGAATTTATCGGCAATTTTGTTAAGCATAAAAGAAGTGTCCGCGGCAGACTCTTTCTGTCGGAAGCCAATGGTGGCGAGTCAATATAAATGGCCGGCTAGATTTTATTGCACAAAATTGTTATGGGGTTTACTGCACCCAAAGCGTCCGCGGCAGACTTATTCTGTCGGAAGCCAGTAATGAAAATGGCCGGCTTATGAGTGAGGGTTAGCCCATTTATAGATTGTTTAACTAGTTCTTATTTCAACAAAATTACTAATACCCAAATTTTTTTTCCTGCAATGTATACGAGAAAAATGCTATGATTACGAGGAACTTTATACATTCCACATAATAGGAAGTTAAAGAAAAAACAAGGTTATTGTCACGGTCAAAATCGGTCCTACGGCGAAAATTGGTGATTCGGGTTTGATAGTAGATAGTAACCATGATCAATCAAGAAATATGGAGATAAGTATCGGATGATTAATTATGATGTAATTAATCTAGAGTCGAATGTTAAGTATATAAGGAACCTTTTCGCTTACAAAAGGACGTATCTCAGTTATGGGTGGTTACGACTCTTATATGTGTGGTAGGGGCACATGAGGAATACCTAACGATACACACTATCTTCCAAGTGAATGAGAAAGGCCAAAAATATATCGTTATGACAAGAAACTTGGATATGCCTATCAGAAATACAATATAACATACAATAGATTATCACACACGACCATCAAACTTATATTTTGAAACAATGGCGTTTCGTGCCTGGAACCTTTATTTTACGAAATAAAAAAAATGTTGCCGGAACGATATACAAATAGAAAAAATACATCGCACTTGCCAAATAAAAAAATATTCGTCCCATCACTACGGATTTATAATAAAGATTGCCCTTTCAAATTCTTCGAGAGTAAAATTTTTAGAAAGCCTCTCTCTTGAATACTAGCACGATTGACGGGAATATTTTAATTGATTCTATTTTTAACCATTTCGAACGTATCACCCACTTAATATCTATTTCGTATGTGTATCTTGGATCGCGAGCTACTTTAAACTTGGTCGCGACTTAGTATAATTACCTTAGAAATAAGACATGTAAATTTAAACTTTTTGACGTGAACCATTACTTAGATACCGTTAAAGAAAATATGTTACCGAAAAATATTATCGCGAACTCACCTTAAAAGCCGAAACCTGTTTCTTTTTTCGCCAGATCTAAAAAACCTACCAGAAAACGAATAGTAAGTAACCTACGTGTGAATAATGGGCTCTCTGCTTCATAAAGCAAGTGTATATTCGACTATAAGTTCTAAAAACTGAATCTATTTTTTTAGGTAAATATGAATTTTGATAAAACTACTAATAAAGAACGTTATACTCATTACCCTTATAACGGTTTTAAGTATCATTCTTATCGCGGGATCATATATAATAAGAAAAAGGCCTAGTTATTCGTAAAATTGGTTAACGTTAAAAAAAATCTGAAAAGATATTAAAACCTTATCGTTATATAATTTAAAATTTAAACTATATATTATATTTATTGGTTTCAAAACTGCACCCTAACTCTAAATTCTAGCAAAAATTAAATTACCAAAGGTAATTATTATTTACTAAATATAGTAACAGCCAATATTAGCTCTAAACTCTTGCTTATTCTAATTCTTGAAATAAATTTAATAAAGCAAATATGTTACTTATACAAGCACCTAAAATCAACCAATCAAATTACTTAAAAAATAATTTAACATAAATAAAAAATTTATAACATCATGATTATAGTACAAAACAAAGAAAAATATTAAAACCTTAGCCACAGAAGATTGTAATGACCAGGAAAAATTATATTAAAATATGTAACCACGTCAGTATATAACAATAATTCAATGCGATTTTTATCACGAGATTTATCGCGAGTTGTAAAATAAATTTTCTCATGTAAAAAATTGAGTAAAAATTAAGTAAAAGCAATCCCCCGTTTAATTAATGTACGTACTAATGTAGTATGAAAAATTGATTAATAAAATTACACTAATACGACATTATAAAGTAATTTCAAAATAGCTAAAAAAAAAAAAAAAATTATTATCGTTCTAAAGCTAGTCATTAAAATTGAATATTTTTTAAATGCAAAAAAAAAAAAAAAAAAAAAAAATGTGAATCTAGCAATATAATTAGAACCGATTAAGAAAAGAAATTATTATGATTATAAAATGAGGAATTTGAAATTAATCAATCGAAAAATAAGAAGTTTCATAAAGATATTGAATATCAGAGTCGGCTGATTGTAAGGAAGAACTTGATAATTCAACTGTGCCTGCAGTAACGAATGATGCTTCATCATCAGCAAAATCTGCTTCAGTAGAATCTGTGTACGTGTGACTCCGTGAAAAACTTCTTTGATTCCTTCTAGTTTGTGGGATGTTTTCATTCCCTCGTGTCAAAATTGGTGCATTTGAAATAGATCGAGGTGAAGGTAGTGTCTGATGAAACAGAAAAAAATAAGTAAGCTTAAATTACGCGTAGTAAGGTAGTAAAACGATAAGAATAAAACATTAAATAACAAGATTTTTTACCTGCATGAAGGGATGTGCCAAGGCTTGAGAAACTGTTAACCGATTGTTTACATTAACAGTTAACAAACCCTTAATCAAATCTTTTGCATTATTGCTAATATTATCCCATGCAGGGGAATGAAACTTATATCTTCCTAATCTAATTTGATCGAGGAGAGTTGGAGGGCCCAATTCATCAGCGAAAGGTAAATTTCCACAAAGACAGACATATAGAATAACACCAAGACTCCACATATCAACAGATCTTCCATAACTACGATTAGGAGTTCGAGCGATGACTTCAGGAGCAACGTAAAGACGGGTTCCACATAAAGTTTTCATTAATGAATGTTCAGGACCAAGGAGTTTTGATAAACCAAAATCGGAAATTTTAACCTCGAGATTTGCAGCACTTGACATGAGAATATTTTCAGGTTTAAGATCACGATGAGCAATACGATGACCATGTAGATATTTTATCGCATCGAATAATTGTTTAAAAACGATACGAGTTTCATATTCTGATAATTTCTTTTTTTGTGATAAAAAATCAAAGAATTCACCATCTTTGACGTATTCCATAATGAGATATATTTTATCATTCTCATTATATAGGTTATATATGCGTACTAATGAAGGCTTAAAAAAATTGAATAAATAAATAAATAAATATGATAAGTAAATAAATATGATAAATATGAAAGTAAATAAATATGATAAATAAATAAATAAACGAATCAAAAAAAAAAAAAAAAAAAAAAAAAAAAAAAAAAAAAAAAAAAAAAAAAAAAAAAAAAAAAAAAAAAAATTTTAAAAAAAAAAAAAAAAAAAAAAAAAAAAAAAAAA